TATGAGAGCATGCCTGAACTGCTTAGTGTTTCCTGATTTTCTATTACCCCGGAAGAGGGGGCTCTGCAAAATGGTGACCTGTTCAGAAATGGCCCTTCCGCTTGACACGATCAGGAGCCCTGCCCTACAGAGCTCCTGAAGCAGCTTCTAGCACAGCTGTAACCCCTCAGTCAGGCTCACTCTGCCCGTCCACTCTCAGATGGGCATGCACACCCCAAGCCGCTCCCCACGCAGAGCACCACACAGACCTTGTAGCCGCCAGGCTAGCCCAGATTCTATTTCCCAACCACATGTTCTGCTATTAATATTACATGAAGCTCAGTTTGGAACAATCAGTTTGAATATTGCCCCAAAGCCACTTTTGGTCCTTCATCAATTGCCACAAGCTTCAGTACTAGATGCAGCACCAAATACATGGGACCACCTGCTTTAGACAGTGCCAAAGTCGCACTGAAAATTCACCTTCCTCTACAACAAGCTTCTCTGAAGAAATTAGTCTTTTTTTTTTTTTTTTTTTTACCTCTCTCGAGGGCTGTACTGTTTCACAGGGAGTGTGGCAATTTGGTCTGGTCTGCTTCCAAAGGAACTCGTCGTCTAAGTTTTCTGTACCAGAAATCATTTCTTGATAAATCCCATTGCCCTCTCTGCCTAGTTAACTAAGCCAGTGGCCGGTCTTACAATCAAGTATGTGCTCAGGAAGAAACTCTCTCAGTGGCATTAGGAAGGAGCCCCTGTACTCGTCTCAGAACTCTAGGCCAACAGGCACGTCAGCAACATTAGTTGATGCTCAGTCGGAAGAGGGCATAAAGTCATTGGGAGCCCATACTTCCTGAGAAAGGTCTTTGATGATGCAAAAAGCCCGTATCTGTAACCGGTAGAGATTCAACTGTGAATCTGTATTTACTATTACTTTTCTAATTCAGCAGTAAATAATGCTGTGGATCTGGACTGTGCCAGAACAGCCAGAGAAATGAAAACCTAACTCCTATTTCTGTGGCGCTCACTGTCTAGCAGGGCAGGGGGTGTGCAGACTGGGTATACATAGTACGTGGCACAAGCCACCGCAGAGCTAAGTTCAAAATGAATGCAGTCACCAAGAGTTTCTGAGGGTTCTTAGGGAAGGTGTCAGAAATTATTTTTGCAAGGCCTGAAAAATTTCCAGGAGGGCAAGGTTAGGGAAGCCTGGACAGAAAAGAGAAGGATGAGTATTCCAGGCAGAGAAAGTCAGCCACAGAAGGACAGAAAGAAGCCTAAGGCGAGCTGCCAGGGCTCGCTGTCCATCGGCAGCAAGAGCGGACAGTAGGCTAACATGGGCCTTGGATACAAAGCCAAGGAGCTAATATCCCATCGTGTGGCTCCTGGGCGGTGACAGGGTTAGACTTGCTCAGGAAGGAGGGGAGCCTGCAGCAGTCGGGTGATAAGCTGGAAAGGGGGCTGTTGGGAGGGAGTAGCTGTCCCACTCTGTCCCAGAGGCTGATGGAACAGGGGGGCCAGCTTGGGGCTCTCAAAACAGATAAGCAGGTGCTGCTGGTGTTGAGACCCACAATATCCAGGAGATAAACACCAGTCCAGAGGCCCAGATAAGCCCTTTCGCCTTTGGAGCCCTCTCGCTAGATGACTTCAAAGTTAACCGCCAGGACACCAGCAGAGCCCCGATACTTGGAATGCTTAAAGGGGCGGTCATGCCGACAGGGCCCAGTAGCTCCGCGGGACCCAGGTCTTGGGCTGCCTGGGCTCAAGTCCTGGCCCTGCCACCAATGTCCTTCCGCCAGCAGGAATGCACTAGCACCTACCATGGTGCTAGTGCTCAGAACAGAGTGGGACACAGCAGGCCCCGGGTAAAGGGAAGCTCCCCGGGTAAAGTGAGCCACTGCTCAGAGTGCCACGTGCCACCAAAGCTGCTCTGGTTGGGAGAGGGTGGAAGTAAGGATGGGCCATGCCCTTCTCCTCGCCCATTCTTCGGAGCTGGCCTTGACAGCACTTTCCCACCAATTCGAAAATCACAGGACTCTCCATCCTGGGGCTAATTTCACCATGCATTTCCTAAATCCAAGGTTTTCCTGAATTCAAGGCGGCCAGCTGCCGATGTCAGGCCTGGAGCAGTCTTGCTCCAAGGAGAACAGAGTACAGGAACTCATGGGGTACCCTGTAAGCCAGGCCCTAGGACAATCTGGCCTCGTCTGCGTGAGCACCAGTGCCTCAGAAGCGTGCTCAACACCCTGTGGGTGGGGAGGGGCGATGGCAGGGATCCCACCCTCCGCCACGCCAGCCCTGCTGGCTATGGACCAAGGGTCTTGAGTTTCCTTGACATCCTTCCCTGCTCCAGAAGTTGCCTGGAAGAAAACTCTTACCTCCTGGGACTGAGGCATGAATGAGTTAATGCAAGTGAGGTACGCAGCACGTTAAGCATGCAACGCAACTTCATTAGAGCTGTTATTTTTAGCCTGTAATACCAATTTTGCTTATACTTATTAAAGTAGCTATGGTGTTCAGTGGGTCGGGTGGGTTCAGAAGTACACAGGCTGCAGTTAAAACACAAAAACTCAAGAAAAATTCTCTTCGATGAATAGGCAGACAGTTCACACATGACTTGCCTTATAAATGAGGTAAAAACGAAAGCTTTCTAGGGTTCAAGGTGACTGCTGTCATTTTAAAACCTACAATTTCTACTAAGCCAGATCCTGTAAGAATTCCAGCAGTTTAGTGACTTGGCATGCATCCATCGCCAGTGCAGAGCTGTGCAACTGAGAATCTTTCCAGAGAAATCTAACAAGTGAGATTTTATCACAGCATCACTGACCCCAAATTAACAAGCCGGAGGCGGTTCTAGAGGCAGGCAGCCTTTCGCTTCCATTAATAAAGGTTAGCTGTTCCATTAGGCGGACCAGTGTACTCTGGGGAGTAACTAGTATCTTATTAAGTTATAAATACATTTAATGGCGTTAGTACTGGTTTCTTATTTTGGAACAGGAGGAAGAAAAAAATAGCACGCATAATCACCAGGGTCGAAGGAAAAAGCCACTATTTTTTCATAGCGTGTATTTACCTACAACACTGCTGAGGAATTACCTCGTTTTAGAGCCCACATCCTCCCTCAAAAGGACAGCTGTGACTTTCCTGCAACTGCATCTATCCACTTGTAAGGCACAATTATCTGCTGGGAAGAAATTAAGTGGTATAATATTAGACAATCAAATCACCTGGATTTGTTTTACCCTTGTCAAACTAGTCCAGAAAAGACTGGGACATCTTTGCATACCCCACCCCCTTCTGGTTTCTTTGTAAGGGGAGAAGATACCATTTGTGTCCACCTTAATTCTCCAAACTCTCAACACAAACACCAAGTTTCCTCAGAGTACACACAGGGATGGAAGGGCAGAGTTCTCATCTTTCCCCTTCTGCACTGAAAACATCTTTAAAAGCATTTCCCAAATAATAATGGCTGTTCTAGCAAGTTCCAGCTTACCTCCTGTCCCGCTGCTGGCCTGCTAAGTGGTCCATTGATTATGGCAAACTCAAGAGCTGGGCACCCTCCGAGACGCTCAGCATGGAGACCATCTCCAGGAACGCGCCGCTGCTTTGGTGGGAAGCAGTGAAATGACTCTGAGGAAACCTAAATAAACTGCACAGGTGTTACATGCTCCATCTGGGTAACACCCCTCACATCCCACCCCCCTTCTGTTCCCAAACACAAATGAGCCACTTCATCTCTTCCTGTCTCCTGATAAGGAGCAGTGTTTCTCATCTTCACACCCCAGAGGTCTCCTCCTCTGAGGGAGCCTTGTAGAAAAGACCTGCTTCCTAGGTGGGCTGGCAACCGGGGGTACCAGGAGGGGTGAAAAAAGGAGTCACAGGGGTCACCGCTGCAGCAGAGTTTGAGCTGTTTTTGCCCTTGGTCAGATGGACAAGCCCCACTTCATAAAAAGACCAGGAAATGGTCCTTCTGGTCGTCTTCTCCACTCAGAATGGTGCAGCTAGCTGAGGCAATGCACAGTTGGCTTCAAAATCAGCAATGGGAGAGGAAGAAAAACCTCACAACAAACAGTGGTAACAGAAGGTTTGTGTGGGAAGATGGTTAAGTTTGGTCTAAAACAAGCAGTGTCTCAGTAATGAGCTGTTGTTAGGAAATACGTGGGGCCCTCAGTGCCTGCAGCACTTTTAAAGAGCACTGTGGCTGCTCGAGGGTTTGTTTGGGGGTCGGTCGGGGTCGGGCTAGAGGGGTGAGTGGGAGAGGGCACAGCCAGGTATGGCAGATCTCCAACTGAAAAGCATGAAGCTTCACCCCACGGGCTCACAGCCACATTTGGTCACCAGCCCCCTGCAGCCGCTGGTCACTCACCTACCATTTCTTTGAATCACAGCAGGGCCCACACATGAATGAGTCTACCTAGAGCATCAGATGGGGTGCTGGTGGAAAGGACAGACTCAGCTGGGGGACGGAGGCAGTTCACAAAGGAACGCTCACAAAGGATGTGGGAAGGTGGGGCTGGGGCCTCTCACAAGGACAATGGCGTCCAGGTCAGGAGCAGTCCTCAGACAGATCGGGGAAGGGCTTGGCTCCTACACCCCAAGTTGCCTAAAGGAGGCCAGCCACCTGGCAGGCAGGAGCTAAGGGGGTAAAGGTCCCCTCTCTTCTCCACCAAACTCCTCTCCGTGTGGCTGTCTCTGGCAGCTTGTGACACAAGGACAGGGCCACAGAGAACATACTCCACAGAGAAGCACCAGCAGGGAGGAGAGCTGGAAGGGCAAGCAGAGAAAACCCATACAGCTAAATCCTGGATTTACAATGAGTTGGCCTCCCCCGCCCCAATTCTGATAAATTATGCCGTGGCCACTCACTACCTATCTGATGAGACTACCTGACATTAATTAGCCCCAGGATCATTTTTACTCTCAGGTGGCAGAAGCCAGAATAAAAACAAAAATACCCAGTGGTCATATACCCAGAGTGAAAAACAAAACTTTTACAAAGTTGACAGATAACATTTATTAAAACATGTCATACAAAAGGGCATGGTCTCTTCTATAAGAAGAAAATATTCAACAGTAACATTCAGTTAAGTAAAACCATGCTGTACACTGAAGACAGCAATATATAAAGACAAAACTATTCAACTTTTGCAACACAGGCATAACATTTCACAAAATATCAATAAGATATGCACCTAATGATAATTTGTTTATCATCAAATGGTTTTGTGGTCTAAGAGTCACCTGACTTGCATAAATAAAGTATTTTCTGGAGGAAACATCGGGAACCTCATAAAAGGAAAGGCAGCAGCAGCAACTGACATTATGACACAGGCTTCAAGCAAAACTAAAAAAAGTCACATTTGCAAAATGTGTTCCAGCATCTTCCCATAGGGCACTATCAGTAGAGATCTGAACTAAGAAACATGTACCTTTAAATATCTAAGTAGCAAAGGAAAAACCCAAACAAACCAACCCTGGTTTCATTGAACAGTCACCCATGAAAGCAACCGAAATCATAAAATTAGTGGGGGCTGGGGGGTGAAATATGTTGCTTGGTTTCCAGCATTCTTAAATTATCAGACCTTATAAAGCAAATACCTGGATTTGGTGTGGAGTACCCCCACCCCCGGGGAAAGCACAGCTCTATGGCTCCCCTGCTCCCCAACACTTCAGGGATAGGCTGGGGGGCGGGGGCGGGCATGAGGGTAATAAGCCGCTTTCCCAAACAGCTGGTCAGACTCCGGGCAGTTTAGCTTGGCAAATGCCCGCCAGAATGGAGGAGACCCTTCCTGGCAGACTCTGAAAGCAGCGGGCCCAAGGAAGGCGGCCTGGAGGACAGTGAGACGTGGAGTCGGAATCCACAGCCCCCAGGGGGTGAGCCTCACCCCCAGAGCAAGTACTCCTGAGCGTCAGCCTGCCTGACCAGGAGGACCACGTGTTCAGCTAAAATAAAAGGCATGGTGTAAGTGCCAATGTTAAATATGACCGGGATGCCTTGAAGCCCTTCCCACCGGACTGGGAAAAACTACATCTAAGACCCAAAGCAGGGGACAAAATGTGTTGGTCATAGGCCACTGACGCAATCCCTGAAAGACTATTTGGAAAACATCCACAACTAGCTAAACTCATCTGGAAGGCTAAAGATTTTCTAAAGCTGCACTGAGGCTAAGGAGAGAAACTATCTACGTAACCCAGGGCGGGAAGGGAAAAAAAACAGTAACACCTCATGATTTCCTAATCCTAAAATGCAGAGTTTATAAAAATTCACTTTTAATATTGAAACTAAGGCATTCCCCATCCCCTGCCTCTCTGAACATGACCAGCACTTCAGATGCCTGGCTACCTCACAGGATATGGTTGACCAGATTACCAAAACCTAATTTTTATGGAAACGCCAATAATAATGATGATGATAAAAGCACAACATAAAACAACAGATGTAAGAGGAACTTATACCTTGAACTCTACATTTAGTAACTGTGTACACCCGAGGACTCCCACAGAAGGTACACCTCTCTTCAATACACACGCAGTCCAAGTGCCCGCTTGCAAAACTCGCCCCAGGGCCGCGCACCACTCCCGGCTGAACAAGAGCTGCCACCAGTACTCATGACAAGGGTGTGTCGATTTCTGCACAACCGAAGGACCATGACTTTCCAGAATACTTTTATTTCACCACCCAGACTCTTCTCCCCAAGTGTACCAACGTTCATTTGAACAGGAGCTTTAGTGGAAGCAGTGCATTGAGCCTTCCAAACACACAGAAAATGGTTTGCTAGTACCATGGGAAGGTGGTCAGCTTCTGCAGAACAGAATGGCTTCAATGCCTCAGTACTGAAATTAACAGGAGCAATAAAATAGTTTCTCCTCACACATAACGGCTAGGATCAGACCTACAGCCCACTGGCTCTGACATGAGAAGATGAGAAGGAGCGATGAGCTTGAGGAAACAGTCACCTACACACGTCTGTCAGGTACACAGAGAGAGGACTGTTAATGGGTGAGGTTTCAGCACTAAGAGGATATTAATGTGGCAATCAACCAAGAGGTAATATCTAGTTTCTAGGTTAAAAAAATCAATATATATATTTATATTTATAATAAAGTTTTAAATACAAAGTGCTTCTTTATATATCAAGAATGATACAGTGTTAACGAACAGATCCCTGTTTTGTAATCTTGATTACAAGAGTTAACTGGTAAGTAAGTACTTGCTTTCTCCTTCCAGACAGTTTGTTGGTTCAACAAGTAAACATCTTGTTGGGTAGGAGCTGGAGGATCAGAGGCTCGAGCCACCAATGCCCATCACACTGGAGCAAAGCCAAGCTGCTAAAACAAAATTTCACCCCAAATCCAAGAAAAGTTACTTTTATTTTAAGGAAAAAAGTTACTACTTATAAGTAACAGACCAGTAAGTTTAGGAAAAAGTTGACATAGTAGTAGCACCCTGTCCTACCCTGGTGGTAATTTCAGGTACGTTACACAGCTTAAAAGTATCCTGAATATATATTTTTTTTGTTTTTTTTTTTTAACCTAAAACACCCAACTGATGAGCAGAAAAGGTCTCAGAATAGCTGCTTTGCTTGTTTTCTGGTGGGTATAGCTCTGTGGACTTGTAAATTTATGCAGCATTATCTATAATTTGGGAGCAGGAATCTGTAGACTACTTTTCTAAAATTAGTACTCCTTCTTTCCCCCTTTTAAAACACATTCTAGCACGCCTAAAGAACCAGCAGTTTGAGTTCAGTGTAATCCCTCTTAAAAAGTATCACCCCCACGAATGTACAGTCAAGACTTTTGGGGGGCAGCTTTTTGCTCAAGTATAAGCCGGCACTCAGTATTCTCTGGCAGAGTGTCACGGTAGCCCTCTACTAGCTCAAGTTCACAGGTAGCCCTCAACCGGGACTTCTGGCTCCTTCCCACTAACTGGCTGCTGGTGGACCCCTTGGGGAAACACCACCATCTAGCTCAGGACGCAGGCCAGGGCAGCCAACAGTACTGTGTCAGTGACAGCGGGCAGACACCCCTAGCCCCGAGCAAACCCCACTGTGCATGCTACAAGTGAACAGGATTTGGGACAGCAAATGAGTTAGAAATACCTATCTCTGACACCCTAGAGAATTACAATTAGGTAATTGTTCAACTAAAGGTTAGTACTAAAATACAAAACTTTGTCTTCTCAAGAGTCTGAAAAACACTTTGACAGTGGCATCTTACAGAAATTGAAGCTCGTACCGAAGTATGTGCTTCATACTTAGAACGTCACCCTCAGTCTCTCCATAGTTTGAGGTGAAATACCTTTTAGGAAGAATAAAACCAAGTAAGAGAGCTCTGTTAATTTTGCAACAGAGGGATCACATTATTTGTAGCTTTTAAGTAAGTAGCATTTCATTCAGTGAAGCAGCTACCAAAATAAATCCACACCACCTAAGTATCTGTAGTAAGAGCGAAGTAAAATTTCACCATGACCTTGTAGTAACGAGTGAGGAAAACTGCCTTCACCAAAGTGGGACTGTAGGCCTGGAGCTCCATCCCCCGTGCAGGCATCTCCAGACCAAGTCCACCTGCCTCCACCATGGGCTGAGGTTTACCTCACCAGCTGAGAGGTGGGTTGACTTAGCCCCATTACATACTCCAGGCCTGGACTGGAACATATCAATTTGAGGAATTAGATTTTTTAATTGGCCTACTTAGAGCTGGTCTTTCAGAAATATCTTCCTTTTTTTAAAGCTTCTCTTATAATAGCAAGTAGCACGCATCATCTGTGCCCAGATTTGCATAATTACCATAGTTTATTTTTGTGCCTGCCACTCAAGGGCCAGATCCTATTTTTAGTTAGCCTCAGTCGTATTCTGCTCAGCCTTTGCAGCTTCGTAGGACTTGGTACATGAAGTCACATGCCTATGGAAACTGTCCCTCCACATAAATCTCTTTGCGCAGATATTACACTCATAGGGCTTTATGCCCGTGTGAATTTTCATGTGGCCCACGAGATGATGCTTCATTTTGAATTTCTTACCACAGACACCACAGCCATAAGGCCGAAGACCAAGGTGCATGCTCATGTGTCGATCTCTCTGACTCTTGTGAGTGAAACTTTTCCCGCACTGACAAGGATACAGCTTGTCGGTGGCCGAGAATCCTAAGTGGGAAGTTTCTTCTTTAATCCCTGTTACCATTTCAATATTCTCACTATAGCCAGCCGCTAGGGCCGCTTCCTGTCTGTGGCCAATTAAATTCCCATCTGACCTCTCTCCAGAAAACTCTTCCATGGAAGAGCCATAGAAATCTACCTGCTCATCATAATTGCTTTCGTCAGCCTGTTCGTCAAACTCTGCTTCCACTTTTTTTTCCCCAATGTGGAAGTCTTCTTCCACTCCAGAGGGCTGGACTGCGTGCTCTGTCTGCATGGTATTGATGGACTCGGTGACCTGGTGCTCGTCGTAGGGTGCGTGGACGTCCATGCCCTCGCATGCCTGTTCAAAGCGCTCAGGCTTCACGTGGACCCAGCGCTTGTGCGCCATTATGCTGGGCTTGCTGTACATGGGCCGGGTGTAGTGGAACTCAGCGCTGTCACTGGCCCCTTCCTCCCCGTCCTGGCTCGCCATTTCGGTGCTCAGCCGGTCATGCTCTGTGGAGGAATTGCTGGGAAGGTATTCGTGCTCAGTGAGCTGAGATGACAGCTCATCTTTGGTGCTCTCCTCTTCATTCTCTCCATCCCTCAGTTCTTGGGCTTTTGGGAAGTCAGCATGGCCTCCGGAGCCCAGCTCAAAGCTCTCTACCAGGCCATTGTAACTACTACTGCTTGGAGACTGGTGGTCACTGCTATGATTTAGCTTCTGACAAAGGACTGTAGGGTTTCCCTCCAAAACCTCAGTGCATTTGTCTACCACATGCCACATCTGCAGGAAGCTTGCTGCTGTCAGGTAACTAACAATTTCTGGAGCAGGCATTACCAGACGCCCTGTATAACTGGAGAGGAGAATGTTCTCAAACACTCTTGGGTTCATCACATCAGGCAAAACAATCCTCCTGCTGTTTTTGAGGAGTACCTGGTCGCAAAAGTAGGGTGAGCTGGCAGCAAGAACAGCTTTGTGTGCCCGGAAAATGTGACCCTGGACAACAATGGAAACGTCACATAATTGTCCTTGTTGGCGCTGTTGGTTCAGTTTCTGTAGAATGGTGCTGGAAAAATCAGGAAATTCTACTCGAAAAGAGTTTGTTCCAGGCTCCATTTCATCACAAATTTTACTCAGTGCTAAAAGAGAAAGAAAAATTATTACAAATTCTAGTCCAAAGAGAGACAAACTAATCAGTAAGAAAAAGCCCAGAGTTACAAAGATACAGTCGCCTTGCCTGGGGGCCCTGGTGGGTAGCACGTTCATTCCCCAGAGTAAGGCTCATAAGTAACAGTGTGCCACAGACCCCACATCACTCTTCGTGGCATTAACTCTTGATTTTGCCTGTGTCTGACTAAGAGAATAGAATCCGGAGATTAGATTCTTAAACTATGCAAATTCCCTTAGTAAAACAGAGTAAATATTCCTACTCAACACAAATATGGCACTTATAACAAAATGACAGGAATTTAAATTTGCCAAGCTGGGATGAGGAAGTGAGGATGGAGTTCTGGGGGAGGAATAAAAGTGTGTAGAAAGGCTTGGAGTACGTATTAACTTGACAACTTCAAGGAACTGATGGAAAAAGCTAGAATCAGTGAGAGGGGTACAGGGGCTCAAGTGGCAGGCCAGAACCCTGAGCCTCTGGTCATTCTGTGCCACTGGGCCCATGAACAACACGGGTCTCTACCTGCTCTCAGAACCTCAGTCTTCAGGAACATCCGGTCATGTGAAGCAGAACTAAATGGTGAGGTGAGGAATTCCTTGCGGTAGTCCTCAAGCTGTTTAAAAAGCTGTAGACCAAGGCCCTTCATGGTGGCGCAACAGGTTAAAGCACAGCACTATTAAGCTACGGCAGCCACTGCAGCATGAGTTCGATCCCTGGCCAGGGAAGTGACCCACATGGTATGGCAGACCTCTCCTGACCTGCCCCACTGCTCCTCTCAGCAGTGTATTTCAATCCCTCTGCCTGTTCTGCTCTCCATTGTCTCTGGTGAATCCTCCCACCCTTGCACCTCTGGCCTGTACCCCAGTTCTACATTCATAAATAAATAAATCTTTAAAAGAAAAAAGTTGTAGACCAAAAGACCAAAACGGATATAACCAATTTTGTCCTTTTTACTGAACTCAATTGGAAGATAAGATCTTAAAAAGAACAGGAGCCTGTGTGCTGTTACTGTAAAAGTATTTCAGGGGCCAAGGCAAGTATTAGACAAGCTGTCTACAACAGCACCAGTAGTATGAACTAGAGAGCCTGCTTGAGCACCAGTATTCCTCAGAAAATAAAAACAAGCCAGAGCCCAAACATTTATCATATTTCTTGTCACCTGGCTCTAATACTATTGCTGAATATGGTTTTCCAAGTATAAGACAAGAGAAACAGAACAAACAAAAACTGAAAGTCATGTCTGAGAGACTGGGACAGATGCCAAGAATGGAAACCAGTGTTTCTCAAGCAATGACTGTAAACTAGGGACTTCACACCTTTCTTCACTAAACCTTCATGGCTCTGCATTGGGTCACGTAGTCTCAAGCTAACTATTTTAAGTAACTTTCCCAGCATTAAAGCTAGTCTTTATTAAGTTGGGATTTGAATCTAAATCTCTATGGTCCCAAAGCCTATGCTATTTTTCCTATCACACTACCTCTGGCTTCTTCTAAGATGCCAAAATGCCAGATCAGTCTTAATAATTTTAAGAGGTTTATGACAATGTTTTTAGAATGATGTATTAACTTATCAATATCTCTTAAAATGTTTCATAAAAATGTAAAACAGAAATAGACTATGCAAGTATTTGCGATTTCAAAAGGAAAAGTGAACTATATAAATGTATTAACTTAAGGCATGAAAATTTTGAGAATTACATCTGGGTAAAGAGATTCTCTCCTAGACCTCATTACTACAGAATTTTGCTTTTGGCTATTTTTGAAAAAGGGTGGTGGAAATAAGACATAAAAAAATTTACAGAAAGTTAAAAATATTTATTTCTAGCCTCCCCTCTGAAGGAACTTACCAATAACAAACTACTGTATATATTTCTTTGCATATATAAAATAAAAATCCTTACCCTATGGGTTCATTACCTACATTTCTTTCTGCACTTAAACTATTATTGCTTAATGTATTATACAGAACTTCCCACATGCTCCACACTGATTTATGTCCCCCAAATTCCTATGTTGAAACCTTTTCCTCCAAAGTGATGGACATTTGGAGTGAGGGTCTTTAGAAGATGGTTAGGTCATGAGAGCACAAAGTGGATTAATGTTCTATATATAGGAGACAACAGAGAATTCCCTTCTACTCTGGCCATGTGAGGACAGAGTGGCAAGATGTCTGTCTATGAACCAGAAAGCAGACTTCATCAAGCATTAAGTCTGCCTTAGACTTTCCAGTTTCCAGAAATCTAAGAAGTAAATTCATTGTCTATAAACCACCCAGTATATGGTATTTTGTGATACTACCCTGAAGGGACTAAGATGTCACTATTTTTTTTAAAGTATTTTACTATTTACTTATTTTTAAATATTTATTTATGCCTGTAAGATTTGGGATACAGGCCAAAGGTGTGGGGGTGGGAGTATTCACCAGAGATAGAGTGGGGAGCAGAACAAGCAGTTCTACTGAAATATACTGCTGAGGAGTACAGCGGGCAGGACAGGAGAGGTCTGTTGTGCCATGTGGGTCAGCTCCCTGGCTGGGGATCAAACTCATGCCACAGTGGCTGGTGATAGTTTGATAGCACTGACTTTAACCCCTGCACCACCAGGGAGGCCTTTTCACTTTATTATAAAAGAGTTAATTCATTCTGTTTAAAGTTATATAGCTCCTGCTATATGGACTGACCATAATTGGAATTCTCTTCTTATGCAGAATTTCAACAGTTCAAGTTTTTGAAATTATAAGCACAATGGACATCTGTGCATAACTGTCTTGACCTATCTTTGAAATTATCTATAGAGTAATCTCCATCAGCAAAACTGTTTGATCAAAGGGCTGTGCATTTGACATTGTGATGTGTATTAGCAGATTATTTTTCAGCAAGGTTGTACCAAATACCAATGTCTACTCTCCCACACCCGTATTAACAATGGACGTCACCAAGTAAGAAAAAAATGTGTGCCAACCTTCTAAGTGAATAATCCAGGACTCATTGTTGTTTTGATCAACACTTCTTTAATTACGAATGACACTGATACTCTTCACTCATGTTTACTGTTCATCTCCCCCTTATAATTACTGGTCATATCCTTTTTTAAAATTAATTGAAAAACCTATCTTTAACAGATGAGTGGTCAAATCAGTTATTTAAAAACTTTAGGATCTGATCAGACACTTCATTAACCAAGGCAAAGTTTGCTAAACTTTACTAAGAGAACAAAGCTATGCTTTCCAATCCTCAAGTAATTATAAAAGCCAATAATTACATTAATACTTTTGTTTTACAACTCCTCTTTTTTCCTATATGACTTTAAAAGGCAAATGTATAAATCCATGTTAAATCATATACTGTATTGTTATTTGTGTTAATAACAAAACGAAGGGGTAGGGACAAAGATGTTTAACAGCAGAATGTTGCTGTGTTATTGAAACTAAGTCTGAATTAGCCAAACTATGTTGTTATAAGTTTAAGATGTTATGGTAAACCTCAAGGTAACTACTAGAAAAATCACTAAAAGCAAAAATTGAAAAGAAAGAAGTGAATCAAAAAGATATATAAAAAAATCTATTAAATATTTTTACAAGGCAGCCATGGAGAAGTTAAAAACATAAAATACACAGAAAAGAAGCAAATTCTTTTTTATTAGTAATTACCTTAAATGTAAATGAATTAAATTTATTAAAAAGGTAAATCAAATATCTAGAAGGCAGACTGAGAGAATGGATTAAAAAGCACAATTTATCTCCATGTTGTATATAACACTCTCACTTTAAATATAAGGCACAGCAGGGTTTAAAGTAAAATGACAAAAGATATTTTATACAAGAGTAACAAGGGGTGGACTACATTATCATCAGACAAAGTATATTTTAATTTAAAAAGATTATAAGAACAAAGGAGGGCATTGTATTTTATAAAAGATTTGATCTATCAAGATGATATAACAATTATAAACACCTATGCACCTTGCAAGGAAAATACATATCTATGTGTAAACATATAAAACAAAAATGGACAGAAATAAAGGAATAGATCTATGATAGCAGCTGTAGATTTCAATATCTCACTTTCAGTAATGGAGAGAAAAAGCAACTAAAAGCCCTATAAGAAAAGAGATAACTTGAACATAATAAACAATTGTTAAAAGACACATTAAACAAAAATCAAGTCTTAAGTAAGTTTATAAAGACTGAAACCACATCAGTTATTCTGACCACAACAAAATGAAACTAGAAATCAAACATAAGAAAAACAAATAAGTAAAAATTAAACACTTGTATCAACAGATCAAAATAGCCATAAGAGCAACTAGAACATACCCTGCCACAAACTGAAATGAAACACAGCTTAACAAAACTTATGGAATGCAGCAAAAGCAATCCTTAGAGGCTAGTAGCTGTTAACAACTTCATTAAAATAGATCTCAAATCAGTAATTGTGTATTTTAAGTACATAGGAGGGGGGTAAAAAAAACAAACAAAAAAACACCCAAATTCAAAGTTACCAGAAGGAAGAAAATAAATTCACAAAAGAGATGACTAAAAAACAGAACAGAAAAACAGTAGAGGTGGGGGATAGTTCAATGAAATTGGACCGATTTAAGGGGGAAAATAAAAGACTCAAACTACTACACTGAAAAATTAGAGATGCTGCTAAACAGACTTTGTAGTAAGAAAAAGGATCAGAGAATATACCATTCATTAGAGACATTGGGAAATATATTACAGGAGCATTACAGCCACACTTCTGTGAAGGGGCGGTGCCTTTTTCCTATCCCCATGTACCTGTAGCCTCCTTGAACTACAAGTACCAGGCTACCATGAACCAGATTTCCTGAGTGGGGTGGCTGGGAATTATGGATAGCATTAAACTGACATGCCTCCTTTATAAATGAACAAGGCTGTGGTAATCTAAAACAGGTTGGCACTGGCATAAAGACAGACAAGTTAGTGGAATAGAACTGAGAATCTAGAAGT